TGGCTCTTAGGTCAACTTCTAGGTCCCAAAAAAACTCATTGCTTACAAATGTTTGCAAAAAACTTTGCGTTTGTGTGGTATATGATTTGTGAAACTTTACAATAAATCAGACATACAAACATTACAAAATATCAAATTTATTTAGATTTTTTTTATATAAAAGATTGCACATGCACACCCACACAATAATTTGTAACCATCAATATAGGCTGATAATTCTTATCATAAAGCTAGCACACAATTGCAGACTTTTAAACAATATGGTCTTCAAGACACCATGGGGAAAGCTTGCACTGTTTGATTATAAATTTAAATGTACAAAAAAGGCAGTTTGAAAATCAAGTATAAACATTTAAAAACAATTTTACAAATGGACAAAGTACAAAAAGAGCAACAGTCACTCAAAATGAATAGAAGCAATGTCTGAGGACATGGTCCATAAATAGGAAAAAGATGTTCATCAGTTTACTGTAGGTTAACATGGCTGTTCGGCCGAGAATTGTACAGAAAGTATTACAGAATGTTTTGCATACATTCTTTTTTGGCAGTTTCAGTTCAACTCTGGTGTGTAGAAAAAATAGGCTAGATTTTAAAATACATGGGAGGGTGAAATGGAGAACAGAATGGTGTGAGGAGATAGGAGGAGGTGGACTGTTTCATTTCACGCACAAAGACGGACATCTGCACAATCCTTTTGGGCATCTTTGAAAATACATTGGCTTTCAATTCATTGTACATTCACTACTCTACATTAAGGTGTAGATATATATATATTGATATACAGTACTTGTTTCCTGCACCAACAGAACGTGGGACACTGAACACACAGGCATCGATGACAGATTGGCTTGAATAAGCATATTTCAGATCTAGTAGATTTTTGGGGTTGAAGGGAAGAGGGGGCAGCATAGAGGTAGCCTTGTGTCTCACGGTTTACTACTGTGAAATCGTCAAAACCTATCGTCTTTTAGTGAAGCTTGGAAGTGTTGCATGTTATGAGTCAAATGCAGTACAATAACAGGATTTAAGTGCTGATGCTATATCACACAGATTAACTACTTCTATATATAATCTGTAATATTGTTTCCTTAGTAGAGTAGTCATGTTTTAAATCAGATAAGCAACAGTGAAGTCAAAAATAAAGTCCCTTCATTTTCTTTGTAGCCCCAAAATTTGGTATGAAGGGAGAATTGTTTGCCCTTTTCCAGTATCCGCTTTCTAAGGTATACTTCAAAGACTAAAAATAAGATTTTGTTATTTGGGCTTAATGCATGATGGACATTGTCAGTGTGGGACAGTTCTATGTAAGCTCTGGTCCTATGGAAAACACAACACTCACACAATACCCTGCATGTCACAAGTCAGGATTAACATCTGCAAACAGATTTTTGTGAAGTAACAACATAAACGGATAGTAGGCATGAAACTGCATGCTCTACTGGACAAAGTACTAACCATTGTGCGATTATAAGGCAAATACATGGAGGTTGGATCTACTAGGCATTTCCATTCAGGCTGATTTTACTGCAGAGACCCTGTAGTAGATGTGCTTGTTCTGTAAATGTCTAACATGTTTGTGGGAGTGGGGAGGAACACATACCTCTGTCACAGTTTGTTGAAATAGGGCAGAAGAGAAGGAGTTGATTCTGCTGATTTGTCAAAGTATACTTGCACAGCAGGTTAGCCACGCCGCATTAAAGTAGTGCATGCTCCAGGTTCCACACTGAGCCCGACACATTGCATTGCATGCGCCCTCATGGGGTTCAGGAGGGAATGTGCTGAAGTAAAGCATGCAAACCTCTCGTACAGTTTGTGTGACTGGCTGTTTTGAAGTCAATCCCATCTTCTTATCCTCGCATCAGATTTGAAATGGACTCCGAGGTTTAACTGAGCCCTCTGTGTTTGAATGACATTCTGGTTTCTGTATACAGAGACGCAAGTCAGACTCATGCGGTCTGTTAGGTGCAAGACTTGACCAAGTGCAAAAAAAATCGGAGATTGCTCCGAGGCCCCGTCTCTGTCTACAGCCAAACCTCATCAGCCAGAGACTCGGAGGTAAGATACTACATCGTCTGACACCATGAGGTCTTGGGACTATAACATGAAATGTGTTATTGAAAATATGCAGTTGATACTGTTAACAAAATACAAATATTCTAGTATACAACAGATGTACAAGAATAAAGCATTTGCTAAGCTCACAAATGCCACTTGTCCACTGTATAATATTTAGATTTTTTTGTTTTTTTCCTCTTAAAAACACTACAAGGAAGTGGGTGACACTCTCCAAGTATGTCAACAAATTATTTTACAGCGCCAAGTCTTTGCAATAGTTTCTTCCCTTTGGAGAGCAGTCCCTTTTTCTTTTTGGAGGAGTACAAGTCCATTGGGCCCCTGATGGGACTGCCGGGCCCCACGGTGGCAGGGCCAGAGCCAGGGATGTGTGGACGCACTGTGGGAGAGGCTGCTCTTCTGGGCGGACCCGATTTTTCCAATGGAACCTAATGGGAGACCCGTAAGGGACAGTTGAGGGTGTTAAAAAGCCAGCGGTCTCTCACACCTCAGTCACTACTCCCCTCCTTCTCTTAAGTCCTTTCTGTCTCAGCAGGGCTCTGAAGTCTACCTCCCTGGATGTTGTCCTGTGCAACTCAGGTATAGATACACACTCCCACCCTCCCCTCTGTCAGGTAGAAACAGTTTTTGTATTTTTTAATGAAAGCTGCTATATGAATAAGCTACAACAAACACAGAATTTAAGCATGACATTCACTAACTTCCACATCAGTGTAAGGTGACAACATTTTCCCAACAATGACTATCAAAGGCAGGGCAGTTTCTCTCACATAAACAGATACATTTGCATTTTGGGACAAGTGGGACATATTTATATCACATTCACTTTCCTTCCTCTTAAATATAGATATATATTTACTGGTACAACTGGGTTACAGAGAAACTACTAGTCACTATTCCTTTTCTGTAATCATGAGCTAAAAGGCTCCTTTAAATTGCACTTTGGGAAGACACGTAGATTAAATTTGTATGAGGCTATATTTATAGAATTTACACACCAGGAAATGTAATGTTTAAAGCAAGACTAGGCTACTTTTGAGAGAATGAAACATTCTTAATTTTTGGAAATAAACAGCAGAATTCTTTTTAAAAAAAATAAAATAAATAAATGCACCACTGCTCAGTTCAATGCTCTCAGAGGATTTGTGGCTGCAGCCTTACTTAGGCTGGTAGGGCCAGTAACTTACAGTAGCTAGCATGACTGTGTAGATAGATATATACATTACAGACACACAGTCACTTTTCTAACTTTGACTCATCACAGCTTGTACTACTGTTACATTTCATCCAAATGTTAGTGATGCACTTCAGCATGATTCCAGATGCTTCTCAGCAGAAGTTGCATAGTCTCACTTTAAATCAGTAACTATTATAGCAGTTAAACAATTTAATCTTGGTTCAAAGAATTAGCACTGATTTGAAAACCACAATGCTACCTGATTTGACAATGCATTTCTTTTTACCACTTTACGTTACTCCTTACATACGTCAAAATGGTTCCTAAATTTGGCTACAGGAAAGAAAAAAAAAAGAAAAAAAATCAATTAGAACTGCAAAACAAAAACTTTAAAAATTTGTATGCTTTTTTGAGTTTTTGCATAGAACTGGTATGTTTTTCTGCATTTCTTCCTGGGAAGCAGCATGTCATACTGCACTGGCAGAAATCGCATTGTGAGCAGTACTGTTTTTTTTTTTTTCAGAAATTGCAGGTTATTGTGCAACAATGGCCTTTTAGCTTACCATGAGTTACAGCAGGAGATTATTGCAGGAGACGGACATTGTCATATACAACACTCAGAGAAACAACTGAAGATACCATACTTCTTGTCTAATGCATTGGCTAGGGTTACTATGTCCTACCAACAAACAGCATCAAGTGTTTTGGTGAAACAAAGAAGGTTCCTACAACTACCTAAAGGCATAGCAGTGCTAAAGGAATGTCCATACATGTTGCATACCAGAAACTAAGGGTACCCATGTCATCTGCATTAGACGAGGGGAGCGTAATCTTGGTATCCTCAGTTGCTCACTTACGTGACGGAAACAGAGCCTTTAAGGTGTGAAATGAACACTCTTCTTCTGTTTTGCCAAGCGGGTGAGGAAAAGAAATAAAAAAATATGGTGATGGCATTTCAATAGTTTGCACTATGACAATGGCAAATTAGAACACAAGGAAAGAAATATCTGATGACACCTATTAATATATATTTTTTTTTAACAATTGCATTAGTTGTTAAACACAAAAATAACATCACATATTTACATTTAGTAAATAATTACTTCTGAAATTATTCTCTGATGGCAACATAGGCTAAGTGACCTTTGCGTGCTACTTTACAAGAAAGCAATTTACAAAACAAGGCGTTCAGGAGCAGATACAAAAGTTGTACTACACTAGACTTATCTTTTTATAAAATGTTCAAGAATTCATGCATCTGGACTATATACCATGCTGAGCTACAGACTACATAGTTCATCTTTCAGTACAACAAAACTATTTACTCTATTAGAAATGAATCGAGATCAAACACAGAATATATTCATAAAGCATCTGTTAGAATGCTAAATATGCATGTGCAAAAAGTGTTAACTGCTCTTTTTCAAGACATGACATAACAAGTAGAAAGTCACAGGAGTTTCTCCCTTTCCATTTTACTCTCATTGAGAATGCTTTATGAATACAATATACCCATGTATTATACAATGCAGAACTTCCCCCCTTTTTCACAGCAGTAAACATGAAAAATAAAAGTACCTCTGTCAAGTATTAGTCTTAAAGTTTCATTTTTTCATCAATGTTAGACATCTATTTATTTACAGTGTAATGATCTAAAGTCAGAAATCCCTTTTGTACTTTGATCAATGAGACACACACGCACAGACACAAAACTAAAGGAGATAGAGGGAACTGAAAAGAGTAAATGGATGACAGAGGGCTAGTACTGCGAAGGAGCATGTACCCTTTTGGTCTTTATCCGTGCTGGAGTGTCCTGGGGGTACCGAGATGGTGAGTCAGTGAGAAAAACCTCTACATCATCAGGCACTTCTTCTAGAAAGTTGGAAGGAACAAGTCCCTTGTGTCCATTGAGCTCGCCCTGTAGAGTACACAAGAACAGTGAGACTCCCTCTGCTGTGTTTAACTTTAAATGTTATCTAATGGTGTCACAAGATCTCCACGTCTCTGAGAGAGAGACACAGAAGTGCCACTTTAAAGCTGCTGAGGAACAACTGATGCCAGAATGGTGTTTGTCCACTGCTAGTTCACTGTTTGCTAAGACTCGCTCCTCTTTGTTGCTGTTTGTAGAACCCTTTTTAGACATGTGATATGTAACATTGCTACCTCCATTGGTCTGTGAAAGTGACAGCCTTCTGTCATTCTAACACATGAACTTCTTTCACACATACCTACCACAGCGACGGAGAGATCCACGGTACTGCTGCAATATTTGTCATTGACGACAGATTGGACAGAACATGAAGTGACGTATAATACACAATAATGCACTAACAAACAGAAGTCTAAAGCAAACTTATCAAACTGTCTGGACAGTGAAGTTTATTTATGATTTTCTATAACAAAAATATTCTGACAGCTGTTGAGGAGCTCAGAACTCAACCTGAAACGATTTAATTACAGCTGATAAACTGTACACAGTGTGACCTGCTGTTAGATCGTGTCCCAAACTGATCCCATCTCCATGTTGGGTTTTATTTATTTAATTGTAAGCAATAGATGACGTTACTACTCCATGTGCATAAATGTCCACAAGTCTCTCTCTTTAGAAAAGCGCATATGGATGCTGCTGAACTATTTAATAAACTCAGAGGAAAGACTCATAGAAACAACTGGAAGCAACAAACTAAACTTCAGCTCCTGCTAATGTTTTGCCACATTCCAGATTATTTTCATTCTTGGTGCATCCCTGTTTCTGTCACCACACAGTACCGTTGCTTGTGCGAGCCTTTCTGTTAATCAGTGCAGTTAAGACTTGTAACATGTTGAAAGTGTCACCATGTCTGACCTGGTAAGATTGCTGATGGGACTTTTGCCAGAAAGTGAACAGAGAGCACATTTCGACATGAAGCTGACACATTCAGATGTTGTCAGATTAACAGACAGGTTCATGTTTGAATAGGACTTATTGTCTCATTAATTTACAAGAGATCGGGCCGTAAAATGCCCTTTTTTTTTTTCTTTCTTATGGCCTTGTACAGTCTCAAATCTCTAGCTGACTTTTAATCTTTCAATCTGACTTTTAAAGTAAGAACCCCTTAAAGGAGTCTTAAATGTGCACTTGAAGCTACATGCATGCACTGAGGCAGAATCATAAAGAACTTTTGGTGGCTAAGGGAAGAACAAGCTGTCCGGCAACAGATGGCACGGCCCCCACAGAGCCCTGATGTCAACATCATGGAGGCAGTCTGGGATCACATGCAGGGAGAGAAGCAACTGAAACAGCCCAAATCCACAGAAGAACAAGAGGCTTGGAAGTGTCTGCCAAGCACGTAGAAAAGCTGTGCACGCTTGAATTGTTGTCTAAAAGTTACTGCACTTGCTAGAGAGTTAGTTGATAGATAAAAACTATTAATAGCACAGCTTTTTTTCTGACTTTTGCACAGTGCTGTAGTTGCTGTGGAGAAATATCTAATCAGAGATGTGACTGAGCTCAAACAGCTTCACGCTGCTTTATCTTGCGATAGGGAAATGTTTAGGACTTACATAGTAAAAGCCATCTTCATCTATTTCACCAAAAACTGTGATGACATCACCGGCACAGAAAGTCAGTTCAGCCTGTCAAAGAAGAAAAAGCCTTCAGATACATTTGTCCCATTGTACTTTCACAACAGAAAACTTTGCAAAACATCAAATCTTGTGGAGTTTGATGAGTTTGAAATGTTGTGCTTCCTTCTCCAAATCAATGTGATGCATCTTTAAACACGAGTGTCAATTCAGTCTCGGCAGACGGACTGTTGCAACTGTAAATGCATCAAATGTTGTAACTTTGAAGACAGGATTGCAACACACCGGGCACATCTCTCCTATGGGATTCTCGAGAACACACAAACCAAACATAGCGTATGTACAGTATGTAGGAGAGAGGTCGACACAAAAGACCAAACCGAGGAGGGGAGATGCTGGCTCAGGCAATGCATGGGGGGGGTGGGGGGCTGTGCTCATGACCACCAAGGACAGAGGGCTGAGGCCCATTATCCAAAGCCCACCTCCTCCTTTGCACTCCAACAAACGGGGGAGGAAACACACACAGAGCAGACAGTACCGTACCCTCCTCACCCTCACTCACCTCCTCATTCAGTCTGTTGCCTTCATACTGTGTCGGTGGCAGTGCCAATAGAAAGGTGAGAGTAAGTGAAACCAGGGGGGAAGGGCCGAAAAAAAAAAAAAAAAACAGCACGGGAAAGTACTTTCAATCCCCTAACACAGTGATAACTAACTCCTCATTCAGCCTCACTTATGCACATATTGTCCCTAATCTAATTTAAAGGAATAACTCAATATGGTCTTGTCAAGAGTTAGATAGGAAGATTGATAACTCTCTATCTGTCTGTTAAATATGAAGCGACAGTCTGGAGACTAGATAGCAGCTCATTAGCTTCGCTCAGCATGCAGACTGAGAGCAGGGAGAAGCTGTAAGCTGAACCCAGGGGCAAAATTTGTGAGGAGCTAGAGCTTTCCCCCAGTGAGGTCAGGGCTCAAAGACCAGACTGCAGACTGTAGAAATCTGGACTATTTCTACACTACAAAGCAGTTCCAGAGAAAACTGGAGCGCTGTTCTGTAGATGTGGATTGCCCAGTGGAACCACAGCTCTGGTTCTGGAAAGAGATGCTGCAGTGGAAATGATTGATACTTTTTTTTCCGTCATTGACACCTAAAATTAGACCTTTCTAATATATTTTTTATTATAAAATATTATATATAAAATTCACTGTATACATAATATAAAATTCTTACATATTTTATCATTACTTATTACAGATCTTTTTTTATTGTATGCACTCTAAGCACTTTTATGGCCAATGATTGTATTTTTTTAAACTGTCGCTGAGAGCATTATGCAATGAAATTTTGTTTTAGGGCACTGTTTTTTTATGTATGTGTGCTTGAATGACAATAAAGTTATGTATGTATTTTGCATTATTATTCCACATTTAATTAATGGTTTAGGAATCGCTGACATTCCTTTCATACATGAAGACATACATCTTTGCACTGATCCAACTAAAACAAATGCTCAACTCTGGTTTTGATCAAAGGCTGTTGTCTATTTTTTTATTTACTTTGGTGATTAAATCGGTCCATGCTGACATTATTGCCACTACTGCAAATATTGTTGCATTCAAGCAGCAAAATTAAACACTTTCAGTAATAATCCACTTGAACATTATTGTGGTCCTCTAGACAAAACTATTTTGGGACCATTGCTGAAATTCTGGATTTATCCAAAGCAGCTCAACTGTAGAAAATCATTTAGGGTAACTACAATCAGTGCTTTAGACAGACCACGTTTTCCCCTTGTGCTCTCATGTCTGCTCATTTTCAACAGACAGACATGACGGCGGTATCAATCTTCTCAAGTAACTCGGCAACAGAGCGATTAAGCGTGTTTCCCAAAATGTCAAACCACTTCTTTAAATTCTGAACTTAACAAGTACAAATAGAACATCCTCATCTCAGTGCCTGTTCAGCTCAAAATGATTTGTGCTTTGACTGCTTTTATGTTGTTGTTAACATGATGGTTGTGACAGAGAATGGTCAAGACAAAGTGGAAAGGCGGATCTAAAGGAGGACAGTACCTCAACATCAACGTTGGGGGAGCTCTCTCGGGGGTCGTAGTCATACAGAGCCACCATTCTCCGCGTTGACATTGGATGCTGACGCCCGCTCCGCCTGTTTCTTTCTGTGAAGAGGAGAAGTCATAAAATACAGAAACAAAGGCAAGACTCAACCATGGTGAGAATGTAAATAAAAAAACAAAACTTGACTAAAAGTGTGACAGCCAGTGACGACACACAGAAGTCTTGCAACTCCATCAATGTTTTACAACTGTGTCCATGTTAGTAGTTAGGGAAAGCTTAGTGACAGCAAATACAGCATAAATTAACTAAAAGTTCACACATGAATAAAGATGGTAAGAAGTGGGGGGAAAAAAAGCAATAAAGATGAAGCAGAGAGCAGAAGAGCATCTCGCTGGACACAGACCTCTCTTGGATTTTCTGGACCTGCGATTAATTGAGCGGCCATCTTTGAAACGGTCACAGTTCACTTCACGGGAAAGCAGAAAAACATAATTAAGTGGGAAAAGTAGAGGAAAGCCAGTCAGTTCAAGGCAGTTAAGTGCAGCATTAAGTTGGCCAGACAGCCACAGAGGTTATAAGGGTAAAAGAAGAAAAAAAAAAAAAAAGTCGGAAAATCATGTCTCACCTAACTTCTCTACAGGAGTGTTGAGTGGGAGGAAGCCCTGTTTAAGGAGCTGGTCCATCATTTCATCGTCCTCCGTTTGGATCTCAGAGACCATGTTACAGGGGATCAGACCCACTCGGTCTCGGATCTCCGCCCTGTAGAAACCGTCTGTGTCTTTATTGCCAAACACCTAAAAGAACAACAAAGTATTAGTGGAAGACGCTTAGACAGAAACAATCGACAGATGCCATAAAACCTGCAATGTAAGACTGCCAAATGGTACCAATATTTATGTTACTCTTATGGCATTAGCTAACACAACATGCAAGTACTGGGAATTTAGAGAAGAAAAACACAGATAAGATTTCCTTTTACACTTTTTTTTTTCTTTAATATAACTCTAGTTATGCCCCAAATTTTTCATGTACATGCTAAAATCTAATTTCTGCTGATTTTTTTATTTGACGAATAGGTTTCTTCTGGCTGAAAATGACAACTGACAATAGACATTAAGACAATGTCATTACTTGTCATTACAGAAAATGATTTGCTTTATTTATAATGAATTACTAATTACCCACAGGAACTGGATGTAACGTTGGTGCCCTCTGCTGGGCCCCTGCAAACTTGGGGCGTTACATTGTCAGTCTGCTGTATCCGGTCTCCGTGGTAGGTCGTGTGAAATAGTGTGAAATGTTGAATAAGTTTGTCTTTAGTGGCAAACTTCTGGCTTTTGCGGGCGGTGTGCTTGGTAAAATATAGGCCAAATGCTTCTGCAACAATACTGGCGNAAGGCTATGAATCATGGCAAAGTGGTTTCAAGTGCCAGGGGTCAAATAATGAAGAAGTACAAGGAGTCTTCCTCAAAGGTCATGGTAGGGAACCAAAAGCGAAGAAGCATCCAAGAATCCCGATGAATCTGAGCAGTTCTAGTAGCAACATCTCAAGGTAGACAAACACTGCACAAGGCTGGTCTCCACGGACGATGACCAAAGAGGACTCCATTTCTCCAAGACAGAAAACAAATACTAATGAGAAGAAAGTGTTTGTTCATCAATTCCGTGGTGAATGAAAGGATATGCAATCAACACCAAGAACATGAACGCCACAGTCAAACATGGTGGTGGGAATGTAAAACTTTAGTGGTGTCCTTCAGCTGATAGGCTAGTCAATCTCATCAAAGCAAACATCTTCTTCAGAAAACAAGGCGACATTAAGATGGTTGTCTGGAGGAACTTTTGGTCTTGGGTATCACTGGACCTCTCAACAAGACAATGATCTGAAACATACTGCCAATGTGGTCAAGAAAAGGTTAAAAGACAACAACATTGGCATGTTGGAGCAGCCCAGCCAGAGTCCAGAACAAAATCCCGAGCGAAAGCAAGGAAATCTTCTGTCCTCAAAGACCTGAAGACTGTTGCAAAAGAGGAAATCGAAAAGCCCAAGTAGAGACATGCAGAAAGCTTGTTAGCAGTTTGATCGCTGTGGTGGCAAATAAAGGTTTTGCCATTAATTTCTGACCAATGTTATAAATAATTCCAGACATCACATTTTTAGTAAAAACCCAACAAAACACTAAATAGTTAAAATGTACTTAAACCGTTGTAGAAGAAACCTATTGGTCAAACAAAAGTTCACTGTAAATCACAATTTGGTTTGGCTATGAATACTGTATGTGTAGGTGTTAGTAATGTCAAGAATCAAGCCACCACCTTGATGATCTGGCCCTCCTTGAATGGCAGCTCCTCATCAGCAGCGTCGGGGTTGGGAGACATGGACAGGGGGTCATAGTCAAAGAGAGCCACAAACACTCGGGTCATCTCGTCCAGCTCTGATTCCTCATAGTAATCCGGGGAGCGCCGTCCCCGCCCGTGTCTGCGCCCGCCATAGCCGTCTGAAACATAGAGGAGGCCTCTGCTGCTACTACCAGCCTTATACAGCCACGCTGGCTGTAGAGGCAATGAGAGCAGAAGATGTCTCTTTGTTAGAGCTGACAGGGGAGAGGGTGATGAGATGCATGTGTGAAAAAAGAGCCAGAGGTCGAATGTGATAATTATAGTTTTAATCTGTTTCACTTGGAAAAACGATACTCGTGTTGTGCCCACTCATTGAACGCAAAAGATACTTTTACATCCTAATCGACGTACAGCAGGGTTCTTTGTTCACACATCTCTGCTTGCTGGCGTGTCAGTTACCAAATATCACACAACACAGTACAACACACCACAGACAGGAAACACGTGTCAAGCAGTTTTGGGGGGGGGGGGTGCAAGGGTGCACATCAGGAGGACACAAATACCACTGCACTACTGTTCATTGCTGTTTCACTGCCTTATCTCACAGAGGCTGAGTCACATGCATGCTTCACTGGGATCAGACATGGCGAGGAGAGCATTCCTACATCAAATGCAGGTGTAATGTCATGCTTTTAGGCCACATCTGGAAACAATGTGCAGCGAAAAAGGGCAAAGGAGGCACGTTCCCATGGGAGATAACACATCAAATGCCCCAGCAGTTCCTGGCAACGCAGATATCAGGGACAGTGAGGGGGAAGGGATGAACCTGATATCAGGTCCCCATGCTTCTCATGGATCACCATGTTAAATGTTTCAATGGCAGATTGTAAGTCTGAATAATGGCAGAAGATCTTGCAACAAACTAACAAAGCGACTGAGATATGCCTCTTGGAAGATGTGTTTCAACAGCGTGAAACATGTTTGATCTGGATGACAGCAGATTTAATGAATGTGCAACCCAGTGATACCAACAAGGCAAGAATGCACTAATTCATCTGGTAATGCGTCTTTCCTTCTCACTGTACTTTAAACGAGTCATGCAAAATGAACAAAGGAAACTGGCTGCTCTTTCGTAAAGGCAGGAGGAGAAGGAAAAGAGGTTGCGGAGCAGGTAAGGAAAAGGGGGGCGGGCTAAGTTGCAGTGGGGTGGAGAGTGGCCTGGATATGGAGGGTGAATGCGAAGAGTGGGTGGGTTGGGGTTTCTTGGGATTCAAGGTGTAGGAGTACATACAGGGAAGGGATTTTCATTCTCCAGCAACGGGAAAAGTGGCCAGTCTTGACTTCCCCCGTCAGCTTTATTCAGCTAAGCTAAGCTAAACACAGCAGCTAACTGTCCAGCACAGAACAAAGACCACCATGATATCACTGCATGTGTTCAAGAAGGACTGTTGGCCTTTTCTGGCATTGTCAAGGTGAATTGTCATCTTGGAGAGAAGCTGCACCACATACCATATTGATCCTCTGAGGACATAGATCGCCATATCCTGCGCCGAGCTACACTGCCATAGTAAACATCCTCCTTGACGGGTGAGAGGTTCCCCTCACTCCCCTCACTGTTACTGTCCATGGTGATCTCTACAGAAGACACCAATCACAACGGTCAGAGATCCCCCGCACACACACTCTGCTCTACCCCATGGCCCATTCACTCATGCTGAGACAGTAGGATGATGAGGTTGCCCTGAGGTGGGGGGAGGTGTACAAGGCAACAGGTTTCACTCTGGAGTCACTGGGTGTAAAACAGCAATGCTTGCACTGTTGCGGGGAGGTCAGATTGGGCGGTCATGTAAACATGTTAACCCACAGTAAACACAGGCATAAGGAGTGTGTCTGAGGTAACTTTCCTGCAAAACTGCATGTGAACATTTGGCGAATCCAGCTCATGAGGATGGACAGCTACAGGGTGCACATACACCCCACAAAAAAAAAAAGGGCCTACGTGGTTGTCAAAGCTCTATGGGAGAGATGAACAGCTCGGCTCATATGGGTAAAAGGGAAACACATGGTATAAATAGCACAAACATCAGTGGCCCTGCAGGTGGAGATCCTCATGTGGTGACCTCACTAACCAATGGATGGGATGGGTCGTCGCTGAGAGGGGGTGCCGATGTGAACCGGCCTCCTCCCTGAATGGTCCAGACGATCTGCGCTTCCATGTGACGGTGAGTTCCCAATGATCTTAAGAGTAAAAAACAACAGATCAGAGGTTAGGACAGTCTATCATTTGCAATGTGAGGACATCTAAACATCTTAAATCATTTTTAAAGAATCCCACAATCCTGTTAAAACAACTGAAAAACCATAAGAGCAAATGATGTGGCTTCCATTTGTCCTTAGGGAGGCGAAATAATAGAACAAAAAAAATAAAGAAACCCAACAAACCATCAAAACAAGTAAATCAAATCAACCCCAAACACAACAACATGGACTGGGGTTCAGGAAGGGTCAGATGTTTTAGCTAAAGACCATTTGTTCGGTTTGTTTTGCTCTGTGCATGTCAGCTCCTTGACGAGAAAAGGAAGCGAATGATGGCACAAAAGACAGAAATGGTGGAAAAAGAACAGATGAGAAGGGGAAGAATAAAAATGGAGAGTTGAGTGCGACCGAAAATGGTTAAAGATGTGGTCGGATGAGCAAAGCCATTATAGCTTCAGCCTGGGGCTTTGGATAACAACAATCAAAACATTTAATACATGAAAAGTTATGATGAACAAGAGAATTTTTTTTGCTGAAACAGGTAAATGAGACAAGCAACGGGTGATGCGAATGGGTTGAAGGCGAAATGAATCTCCGCAGGCTGCAAAAGTCTTGCTTTGGCCTTGTTTTGTATGTGAAGCAATGGAAAGGCGGGAGATGCTGAAATAAAGCTCCAAGGTGGAGCGCTGTGGCTGCAGCTCTTGAGGGCGAGACATGGAGAGCAACATATGAAGCCGGCAGCTTGTAGAGAGAAGGCACAGGCGGGGAAGAAGAGACGAGAGCAGCACATCCCCATGCACTGCACAGAGACTCTCCTTTACATGGAGCCTTTCCCCTCAGAGACATGAGAAGTCAAAACTTTGTTAAATGGCCTTTAGGTAATTAAAAGCTTTACTTTCAAATCCACCTAACACGCTGAATACAAGCAAAGTAACTCGCACAAAATAAAACATCAAATCAGACCAACCATGAATGTGTGATAACTTGTCAAGAATGAGAAAAAAACAAAAGCCAAATGAAAGGAAGGGGGTCATCATAAAAATAAAAATAAATAAATAAATAAATAACACAGACAACATTAAGAAACAGAATGGCTGCAGCTTGCTGATGGAAAGTACAGCAGAAAGTCTGAATCACACACCAGCGGCTGGTCCCGGTTGAGCCTGGACAAAGACTGGGCCCTAGCCTCCCTGTGGGGGCTGTAATAGACCCTGTCCAGCTCGTTCAGCCTGCCCTCGCTCAGGGCACCTTCCCTGGAGTAGTTTCGCGGCCCGGCCTCCCGACCAGGCCCAAAGTGCTCCCTGTTCCTAAAGTCACCCGTGTGTACCGACTTGGTTGCAGACAGTGGGATGTCAGAGAACTCCTCCTCCACGCTGCACTGGCGGGTCAGAGTTCTTTTGCGGCCCATAGCCAGCGCCCGCCTCTCTACCGGGCCTTCACAGTGGATGATGCGCACAGGCCCCCGCATGGGACTCCCATGAGCGTAGTACCCTCGATGACCCCGTCCTAGAGAGCCTTCTTCCTCGCTGCCGCAGTCTAAACCACTGTCAGGACTCTTGGTGTTCTGGCGGTTGGGTCGCCCTAAACTGCGGTCGTCTGCACTGTAGCAGTAGCGGCTGTCGGTGAAGCGAGGGGAAGAGCGTTGGCGCTGCAGGCGGGAGTTCTTGTTGGGTGTGAGATGGTTGCGCATGTGAGCGTCCTGGGGGTACATCCTCCGCTGAGTGTGCGGCGTCCCCGGCCGCCCGCCCTCTTCGAAGCACAGGCGCTGGCCCATGCTGTCCACGCTGTCCGACTCTTCCTCGGCCACCTCGGGGATGCTGTGGAGACGCTTGCTGCGGAGCGACCTCTGCTTCACCACCTCCCTCTGGAGATCCCAGCAGTCTCTTTCCTCGGCTAAGTCCTGACGCTTGTAATACGCCTTCAGTCATGAACAGGAGGCGATGTTCCACAATTTCACAGTTCATTGAGAGTCAGTTCAATTCAAAACGTTCAGTTTAGAGTTTTTGTGTGGGGGTTTGAAAAGTTTGTTCGAAGGTTTTTAGCACAGGCAGGAAACAACACAGTATGTGAATAGAACAAATGGGGGAGGGAAGACAAAATAAAGACAGAATTAGTTATTTGTGGCAATGTAGTAAGACATGCAGTCTCATTCCGTGAGGAGGAAATGGCATGCTCTGAACAGGAATCTGTCAAGGCTCAAAGATGGAGTGACATCTTATAAAGTGGACACAGAGGTTAAATGTGGAAAATATCCAAACAAAAAATAAGTGATAGGCTCAGTTAGTGCCACAAGTGAGGGGTAAATGAAAACACCACTGCAGATGAAATAAATAGAAGCAGAGCGAGTAGAAGAATCAGCAACTGAGGGCACACTGAGACATAAAACAACACCCATCTATGTGTTCACAGAAAACAGCAGCAGCAGAAGCAGCAGTTTCATATTAAACTACTCCCTTAACAACATCTAATTCAAACGTGTATATCACTATACATATAATAAAAAATTACAGCATTTTTACAGACATATAAGTAGGATGGAAAATGTGCAACAGTGATTTACAAATAGATGGCCATGACAAAAAGGAGATGCAGTTTTGGTGTATACAAAGAGTTCATACACCAACGTATACCCCTCATGAACACCACATTACTGTACAGCTTTGACTGGACAAAAACAGAGATAACCTCACCAAAACTTGAAGCGATTTTGTACCAACTTCTGATAGCAAGTGTGCTGTAATACAGAGGACCAATCAGCCACTGCTCTCATAACAGAATGCTCTCTATCACGACGGCAGATCGTCTTTACATCCACACATCCCCGGCGACAGACCAAATGAAGACAGGATCATGTACCGACAATGTTAACATTAACATTAAAATCAAACATTAGGACATGACAGACATAAACAAAAGTGGATATTTCCATTTAAGTACTCACTTAAATGAGATTCCCATATGCACTTGATATGCCATGACCCTTTGATACAGTACAGTGTATTAATATTAGCACTTCAATGTCACATTCGAACATTTCACTTGTAAAACTATTCTGGTGCAGTATAAAGAGCATCAAAATGCAATGCAAACCATAGAAATTATTATGTATTTAGGTTACAGACTTCCCCTCTCACATGCATCTTGTACAGTTATGTATGTATTTGCAGCCATTCTTGTGAGCTCAGCTTGGAATGAGTAAAGCAGCACTGGAGGGGTGGAGGAGCAGGCTGGGGTGGGGAGGCTGATTCAGCTAACATGAGGCACAGGAGTTCAGCTAGGCAAAGCCATGATGGGCCTGGTTGTAGAGCTCGTGAGGTGGCAGGACCCTCCCTCCTTAAACCCCTGTTTCTCCCCACCATCCCCTGTCCTCCCCCCCTAGACTACCACAGACTGGAGGTGTGCAGGTAAGTGTGTACCTTCAGAGTGTTGTGAGAGTTGATGCTGCGCCTGCGGCCCTCCTCCAGCTGCATCTCAGAGTACAGATCTTCCTCATCCTCCTCCATGATGTCGGACAGGTCAGAACCCCGGCTGCTCTCCGTGTGGTACTCCTCGCTGTGGCTGTAGTGGTGATGGTGGTGCTAAAAACCACAGTTGAAAGAAAGTTTGTTAGATAGCAATCAGTGACTTCATAGAGTTTTAGAATCAGATTTTGGTGACATTTTTGGTATTGAATTATTTGGCTAATACCAATACAAAGGCCCTGACTGGCCCCAGTGACATCAGACACCTCAATACAGGTGCAGAGACAGCTACAGTTAAAACCAGAAGTTTACATACACTTTCTAAAAAGATATAAAAACCTTTTTTCCTCACTGTCTGACACGAAATCAGACTAAACTTTTCGTATTTTAGGTCATTAGCCATAAAGTTAAAGCTTGGGCACAGATGGGTCTTCCAAATGGACAATGACCCTCAGCATACCGCCAAATTAGTTACAAAGTGCCTTAAGGACAACAAAGTATGGCGTGGCCATGACAAAGCCCTGATCTCAATCCCGTAGGAAATTTGTGGGCAAAGCTGAAAAGGCGTGTGGAGCACGGCAGCCAACACACCTGACTCAGTTCCACCAGTTCTGTCAGGAGGAATGGGCCAGAATTCCATCAAACTACTGTGAGAAGCTTGTGGAAGGAAACCCACAACATTTGACCCAAGTCATACAGTTTGAAGGCAATGCTATTAAATACTAAGGAACTGTATGTAAACTTCTGACTTTGAAGAAAGCATTAAAACATTCTCTAAAATAAAATAAAAAAAACCCTCTCTCATTATTCTGGCATTTAGCAAATAGAAATAATTTTGATAATCCTATCTGAACTAAAACAGGAAAAGTTTATTCTGATTTAATGTCAGACAGTGAGAAAAAAAAAGGCTATGCGTCTTTTTATACAGTGTATGTAAACCTTGTGGTTTAAACTGTATAATCTCCAATTATCTGGCCAACATTACAAAATTTCCTTAAGGTTTCAGTTCTGTCAGATGTCAACAATTCTGCTGGCTGCAGGGTTCAGCTATTTGGTTGATTTTTCAAAGACCAAATCATCTGACAGTTGTTTACGAAAACTCTCCTGTAGCTACACCCTGAGGCTAAAATACAAATTTAAACCCTTTTTCTTGTTGTCTTGAAAGCATTTATTTCAAAAACTGAACGTAAGAAATTCCTACAAAATGCAAGTCTGCAATAAAGATGCAGAAATACACACTAAAGGGGGCTTCAGTTTAATGTGATGTGATCGAACGTGATTTGATTTGATTCAGTTCGATGCAGGTAACTGATTCCATTGTCCTCTTCCTAGAAACAAGAGATGCACACACATCGATAGGCTGAGCACAGCTTGTGTTTTCTGTAAAGTACCTGTCTGCCCAACTCTGAGCCTCTGAGGAATTCATCCACCGAGGCTCCTCTCCTCCTCGCATGAGGGGAGTCGTAGCCATCCTCCTCCTCATCAGAGTTGAGTGGATGCAGGGCATTACCTCGCTCGCTGAAGATGTTCCTTTTCTCAACCTGATGTGAGAAATGTTAGACTTTTAGGTTGAAAAAAGACAGAATAATGATGAAACAAAATACAAACAACAATCAGGATATTTTAGGATATTATAATTCCATCTTAAAATAAGTAAAATAATCTTATTCACATTAGCTTAATGAAAAAAACAGATTTCTAGGCTCAGTGTTGAATTCTATTACATGTTGAATTAAATACTGTTTTATTGTTAAATTTTCACGCACCCGGTTGCCCTCAGCAAACACTCTCTGGGCAGCTTCCCTGGCCATGGCCTTGGCGATGGTGTTGGGGATGGGGACTCCCTGAGGCTGCGGCAGGATCCTCTGAGGAGAGGGGGATCGCCGAGGCGGGAAGTGCGGCGGCTCCAGGTTGGGTCCGCGCATGGGAGGCAACGGAGAGGGGGAGCGCTCCCAGGGCTGGGCTGACCGCAGGCCCACCTCATGCTCTTTGGTTTCTGGCTCTCTGGCACTTACTAATGGTTTGGACTTGGGCATAGGGTGGCGCTGAAAATGAGGCTGGGCATGAGGAGGGGGAGCGGGAGGGTGGCGGACGGGCTGCGAGTGCGGCTGTGCGTGGGGCAGCGTGTGGGGCTGGGCTCGAGGCAGAGGCTGCACCTGGGGCTGGGGGTGGGTTGGGGGGTACGTCGACGGGTACGGGGGATGGGTCTGTGAGTGCACCGGATGGGACTGTGGGTGTGGCATAGAATGTGGAGGTGCGGTTGTTCTGTGGGAGAGACGCGGAGAGCCCAAGAGATTGTGCGGGATGATGGCCACAGGCGAGTCTTGGGACTCTCCTTGTGTTGATAACGTCCTTACAATGACTTCCCTGGCCTCCAGACACTGAATCCTGTTTAACTCCACGGTCACATAGTCTGCTGTGGGGTACAAGACCTCTGCTATCTGCATTCACAAAGGAACCAAAGAGTCCTTACCAAAGGGCAATTCAAAATGTCAGCATGTACAAACACTCACTCTGCAGCCGTACCTTGACACAAACAAACATGTAACTGCATGCATTTGTCGTAGGGCTGCAACTGCAATTGGTATTTTAACAGTCCATTAATCAGTTAATTAT